TGCTTGTATATACTGAAGCATCACTGCTCTGAAGATCTCAACGTACTTTTCAGTGTTCATTAAAATAATACTTGTTTACTGTCTTGTGAAGTTGACACGCTTCCCTGGCTAGTTAAAAGGACATTGCATGTGTTATGTATCCAAACATACCAAGCATTTTTGGCTTTCGCTTTTTTCTTTATTCTGGGTAAAGAGACTCTGACTTGTTTGGAAATAATATTTATCTAGTGCATTACACAGAAGGCTAAAAGCTGCTTACTGCACCCCTTGATGAAAGGATTTGGTACCAGTAGAACTGCTCCAAGAAAATTGATAAGTACCTGCAATCTTACAATAAATTCTGTATGTGAAGAGGTTGTTTTTCATGTGCAGTGTCATGGCTGGAGAAACGCTGCTTTAGTATGTTTTACTAGGTTTACTGCTTCCGTAACCCCAAATAGTTAATAAATAGTAGCAGAGGACAGAGCAGAAAGTGGTGGAAAATATAAAGTAGGAGGTCTGCAGAGCTGGAGTGTTGTCTGTTTTCAGAATGAACCAAACTTGAAGTGTCTTGTTTTTGCTCTTGTTTGCATATGTCTGACTATCTGAATTGCTGGATGATTAGTAAATGTTCCCTGTGTTTTGTAAGCTATGCTTTTGGCCAATTGCCTTGCATCAGTAAAGCAAGGCATCAAAGCATCTCAAGCTTTGAGATGCTCTGCTTGAATTGCAGATTCCTGTTTTCTTTAGGTGCGTTGCTCCTGCTGTGTAACCTGTTTTGGCAATATCAGCTGGGTATTTGTTTCCAGCTTGTGTAGAGTTTTGAATCGTATCAAAAGAACAGAAAAGGAAGAATACTGATTTTGGTGATGTTGAGCCTTCACTTGCATTTTTCCACCAAGTACAGACCTCAAGGCAACACTGTGGCTCCCATCTTGTTCCAGGCCATACATATTTCTCTATTGAACTCTCTCAGGCTCTACTTTCTTTTCCTCCCCAGTTTGCACAGAGGATTTAATTGTTAGTCATATTGTTAACAAATTTCTTTAAACAGACAATCAAAAGTGATGTCTGTTACTAACAAGATAAACTTAGTTTCTGCAATAAACCTGACAATCTGTGTTACAATTGCAGAAGGTAGAGTGTCTTAGTGTTAATAACAACATGCTGGTGCTCTTCGTTATGCATGTGTCCTCCTCTTAGAGAAGCTTGAGCTTAAATTGAAAGTTTAACCCCAAAGTTAATCTGATTAAATAATGGTTGATATAATTATATTAATGTTAAAATCCTTGAAGAGGTAACAAGCATGTTCTCCAGAGCATAAATATTAAGTACAAGGTACGGGGCTGGGACAAGTATTTGCTAAATGAAATAAATACTGTGTGAAATAAATGTAGCATTTGTTGGCCAGTGGTGACTTGTATTCCCGTATACTTTTTTCTAGGCAACAAGTGAAAGGGCTACAAGTTTTGAACTGGAGGCCAGAAAGAACTTGGTTGTACCTTGTCTTATAGAAAGTGAAGGAGTTTTTTAAGTGTTAATTTTATTACCTACTAAAAATGCTACTTCATTACAGTTTGTACTTAAAAGGACTTGTAGCCGTGCCAAGCCTGGCCAATGTTTATCTCTTACCTGAAACAGAAAACTAGGGAAGGTAAATAAATTACCACTTCATGTAGCTATATATTCTCCACTTCTCTTTACATCATCTGTAAAACAGCTTCTTGTAAGTTTATTTTTCTTATGAAACTGGCTATCACTCCTTTAGTGCAGTAAGATATTCCTTTAACCTGGTAGACAAGACTGCTTTATTGAAGATAACATAGTGACTTACAGGAAATTAAAGCTTGCAGGTGGCTTTTATGTGCTGTGCATGCCTTCTTAGGTACATTATCACCTTGTTTTAGTTGGACAGTCAAGCCTGACAGTGCAGCTGTATGAACAGCACTCAGTAGCATGCCTATTTTAGACTCATGTAACTATTAATGAGCAATTTGAAGATACTTATTGGTGTCTACTTCATAAAAAATAGAGGTGGTTTAAGAAGTTGCTTTTTTTGCTAAGACTATGAAATTAATATTAAAGAAAAACTTAAAAGTTGTGGAGAAGTAGGTTTATTAGAGCACTAGTTAGGGCTGTTTATCAACTGGAGACCATCAAATGCTTTGCCTTTCCTTTAGTCCCACTGCAGCTGTTGGACAACAGTTACTGAAAGTAATAAACTAGCATCATGGAATTTTGACTTCATTTGCCTTAGTACTGTACTTTATTACGATGTTGCTGTAACAAATTAGTACTTTCTACTTTTTATCGTATTACTGGTTATTCCAAGCTGTTCTGGAAAATGCATTGCTGAAAACATAATCAAGGAAAGGCCTAGTTCACTCTTATATACGGAAAATTAATTCTGACCCTAAGCTTTTGTTGTATTTTCTTCTTTCCACAAATTGTACTGACATTAGAGATAATACCATTAATCATTAGCACTGTATAAATTTACTATATATTTGATTCAGTATTCAAGATTGCTAAATTGATCTTAAAATTAAGTTCTTTTGAAGCCCACTGAAGTAAGTACAAGGCAGCCTTACACTTTAAGATGCTCAGTTGATGAGCAACTTCATTAAAATGGAAAGAAGTTCAGAGAAAATACAAGTTTCAGGTGCAGGAAATTGATTTCCACCATAACCGCAAACAGAAAATAACTCCTTTGAGAGTTGGTGCAGGAAGGGGCCAGAGGGAAGATGTGATACAGGTTGAATTATGAGGATGATGGAAGGATGGGCATGAAAAGAGCAGATTATAGGAGAATGTCAGATCATTCATGGCTGTTTTGATTTGTGGGGTTTTTTTCCTTTTATAAATAAATACTATGTAGTAGAGGTGATTTCTATGAAATATGATGATAAACTTCTCGTGAGTGAAATGGAATTTAAGATTGTGATATTTTGGGTTTTGGTTTTTTTTTAGGGCTGGCTATGTAAACCCCTGCCACACAGTGTATTCCAGAACTATAATACTGTAAACATCCCACTGGAACTGTACACAGCATTCTGGTAGGTTTCTTTCTGCTCTCATATGGCTTAGTTTGTATGCGATATTTAGGTTTTGGGATTTTTCCCTTGTTAAAGTAACATCTCTGAAGTTTAAAGTACAGGGGGTTGTGTAGCATCAGCTTCCCTATTGCCAGGCACCACAGCAGTTAAAGAGGTGTCACTTGAAACAAAAGAAAAATGCTGCAGTAGACTAGATCCTACTTAAAACAAGTTGCCTGGCATACTTTCTTGGAGATGAAATTCTATGCTGTGTAGGGTGTAGTGTCAGCATATCACAATCTACAACAGAAGGGTGACGAGCAAGCTGACACCTTAGAGTGGGGTGGATTAAAAAAAAATAAAATCAAAAATCAAACCAACCAAGCAGCCCCTCCCACCTCTGCAGAGTGTGTACTATGCTACATCATCAGCAGGGCAAGTTGTTCACTGAGTTCATCTTTAAAAATAATGTTATTTAAGTGCTAAAATCACTTGTCAGGAAGCAAATACAAAAGGGAAGAAGGTTGTCTGTCCATAGGCAGCTTTTTTTGGAAGCTTCTTAATTAATTCTGTTCTCCTTGTATTGTTCTTTGTCTCTAGCTTCAAGGTGGGTTGAATAATGAGGTTATATCACAAACTGTTTCCAAAGACACCTTTGTGCTGTCAGTCTGTTTCAGAAGTTAATTGCAGAGGAAGAAATAGGTACAACTGAGAACTAGCTAGCACTTGTTGGAACAAGTCCTTCTAAAAGAAGTCCTTCATTATCCAGCATGGTATTTCTTAACAATTTTTTTTCTGTACTGTAAAATGAGAGCATCTTAATTTAACACAGAATGGGTAAGGAATTATTTTGTTAAGAAGACATGCTTAATATCTTTGCATTAAAGGCAAAAAAATAATACTTTATCTTACTACTGACGTTGGGAATCCACCCTTTTGATAGAATGTGGTAATGTATGTTAAATCCATGTAATAATGCAAGCAATGCAGGAAACCTGGAGACTGAAGCTTCAACTGGAAGGACACTAAAACATGATGGACAGCATATTTCTACATCTTCTAGTAGTCTAGTGCAACTGCTGAACCACTAGCTGCTTAAACTATTTCAATAAATTTTGAATATTAGCTGAAACAATAAGTTGTTTTTTTGTGAGGCTGTGGATGAAACATGTTTCCTAGCACTCAAAGGGAGGACTATTATTGGGAGCTTGCCTGGGGAACCTATGGTGTTTGTCTTCTTAAGGAAGTCTTTCATGTAATTTAAAGCTGAAGTTTTTATTTACTTGCCATCTGAGAATACTAAAATTTTAGTCTTTTTTCTTCTTTTCCTGTCCCCATCTTTTTTGGTGGATATAATAAATGTCTTCTGAGTGCCTACCTAGAGACCTTTGTAGTTGAATGTTTTTGAGGCTTTTCTTGGTTACTACCCTTTGTATTCCTAATGATAAATTTCCAGTTGATAAGTTTGCCATTGGTAATTTCCAATTCTTATTAACTACATCTTTCCCAGTGCTTAATGTAATAAAGATTGGTAATCTGTCAGGACAGACTAGAAAGACAGATTTAAAATGGATTTACATCACCACCTGACTGCATAATTCACTTTCTCCTACTATCTATCACTTGCACCTAGAGCTGCAAGTTCTTCAAATATTATGTATGCATGTAGTAATCACTAATTCATACTCTTTCTAGAGGGAAACTATTTAAACTTGCATACCTAGCTCATTTTACATTTTAAACTAATGAATTTTATTGTGTTAACTTCTCATATGCCAAATTATTTTCTCTATTATAGAATATCTGTTGTGCACAAGCATAAGCTAAAAGTGAAAACTAGAGATTTAAAACTAAAAAAAAAACCATCAAGAACTCTTCATAAGCTTCAAATAACTATCATAAAATGAGTTTTTAAAAACAAAGTGCATATTAATCATGATATATTTTTCTGTTTTTAAAAACAGGTGAACCAAGAGTGATATTTCCAGAACATATTTGCTTTTTTCCCCAGATAGAAGATAAATGTGCTAAGCTGGCAGAGTGATTCTGGTAAGAATGTTTCTGTTACTTCCACAATGAATGTTATTATATGTATAAGTGTTTGCAGTTTTGCTACTAAAAGGAACTTTCTCTACCATTAGTGTGAATGAACTTGCTTTGGCTTCCAAGGTCTTATTTAGCATTCACTAAGTGTATTTAGCATTCACTAAGTGGGGTCTATGTGGATTCATGGATCACAGAATATTCTGAGTTGGAAGGGACCCACATGGATCATGAAGTCCAACTCTTAAGTGGATACAGGGATCAAACCCACAACCTTGGCATTACTAGCACCATGCTCTACCCAACTGAGCTAACCTTCCAAATATTAAATGACCTTGTTTCCATAGCTGACATCACTGATTCTTATTTTGTTTTGCTTTCTTCCATGATCCTCTTGAGTTTATACAGCTGAGTCTTACATTTCTTGTCTTGTTTGATTTAAATGTTTCTCCGTAGACTAGTGCTGACAAGAAGAGCTGGAACGAAGTCATTAGCTTTCATTTGTGCAGTAGGAGGGAATGCTCTGCCACAGGCTTTTACTTGATAGACTTACAAAGTCAGTGTTTGGGGTCACGGGCTGTTATCTAAAGTTTCACTGAAATAAATTGTTTAATTTCGTTCTTTCCATTCCCTTCCACCCTACATTGGTATATTGACTCCTCAGTTCTACAGACACTGTCTTTGGAGGGAGTGAGATACAGGGAAGAAATGCTCCCTTCTTTCCCCCAGTCTTTTTTCCATAAGGAATGTCTTTTCTGATGGAGTTAATTTCTGTACTTTCCTCTACTTACAGCTCAGACATGAGCAGTGCCAGTAACTCACTGGCACGGGAATTCTTGTCTGATGTCAACAGACTGTGCAATGCAGTGGTACAGAGGACAGAAGCCAGGGAAGATGAAGAAGAGGAAACTCATATGGCAGCACTGGGACAATACTTAGTTCAAGGCCGTGGGTTTATTTTGCTTACCACTCTGAACTCAACTATTGATCAGGTAGTAGCTTTTCTTAACTGGTTATAATTTTTATATTCAGCTTTGACTGTGTGGATTTGTCTGGCTTATGTTGTTCTTGGTGCTGGTTTTCCTTCCTTCTTATGGAAGAGTGCACGAGTTAATTGGAAAGACCATAAGTTCAAAAAGATATGTTGCAGTAGTATTCTGTCCCTCAACAGGAACAGAAAAAGAAAAATTAGGTAATCATATACCTATTTGCCAGCTGATAGTCAAATGTTTAGCAACCATCAAAAAGGCATGTGTAAAGCTCAAGTGCAGTAGCTGGGTAGAAAGAAGAAATAGATTATAAGTTTCAAGAGAAATGAGTGTTTATTACTGCAGTTCAAACTGATGGTTTTTAGTTTGAGAAGGTACTCCTGGTTTAAGGCAGTAAAATAAAATTAAAATATACTCCTTTTATTTTCTTTATTTTGTTTTTTTGGGCCATGAGACATATTTTTTTCTTTAAGTAACTTGGTCTTGGACATAATATAAAGTAAATATATTGTAGCTTCAGCTCAAAAGAGGAAGTATTTTAGAAGACGTGATCAGTTTATACTATTTTTTATATAGAAAGTCTAGCACATGTCCCTGTAGCTGCAGATGTCCATTTCTTTGTTGTCTTTCTCCTTTCCTTCCTCTTCAACACTGTGGGATAGATACTAAGCAACTGCTTGGCTGAGATGTGCTTTGAAACTGCAGATCCCAGTATTTAAACATAATGAACCAAGTGAATCCTTGTTGAGTTTATTCAGCCTTTTTCTTAAGTGGAGTCAGCTGTTATTGCTGGTCAAATTCATCTTGTATGTTTGATTTTCCTTCATGAGGTGACTTGTACTAAGACTACAGTTTGATCTTCTGGTTTGGTTCTGACTTTCAGTAGGTGCACTGTCTAAACAGCAAATCCACAAGACTACAGTTATACATAACTGTGGGTTTTTAGATGTCACTTGAGTTCTACATAGTTGCTGTTAATAGATGCTTCAGGACCAGAGCTGTTGGAAAAACAGCTGGCTTTCATGTAAGAAGGAATTGGGGGATTCCATGTGCCTCCCCTCCAATAAAAACCCATTTCTGAATTAGAAGGGGGAAAAAAAAGCTTGTAGCATCTGCAATTCAGCAAGTATTTCCTGAGGATTTTTTTAAAGGCAGGGAGAAATGAGGAAAGTAAATTTTTTTGAAGTGTACCGCTGAAATTTCAAGTTAATATTTTGCCTTTTTCCAGCCTCATTATTATGCTTTGAATGCTGCATTGCTCATTCCCACTCCCAATTAATTTGTCTTGCTGAGAATACCCTAGTAGAAGAGAGTTGGGAGAATGACTTTGAAAAAGCTTTGTTTTCAGGTCTTAATTGTACTGTATCAATAGTTTTAGATTTTATTTTTAAATTTTCATTTAAATTGATAGCCTTATCAGAAAAATACAGCTATTACGTATATAGAGAAATAGCTGTAGAACTATCTCTATTACTATATATAACTGTATATATTTGTTATTTATATATTTATATATAAAAAAAATATTGAAGTTGCTTATCTCCATACACTTACATTTCATTGTTACCTTGAGTTTTCGGAGAAGGGTGTTGCTTCAATTGCATGTCCCTGAATGATATCAAGTGCCAAAATGCTCAAATCTGCTTTTTGTTTTTGAAATTTTTGACCTTTAGGGCTGAAATCATTCTGATTTTGCTGCAAAGCACTCCATAAAGGAATTGGTTGAATTCTGTGCCTTCTATGATTCTTCTCTGCATTGAAATTCTTAGTGTATAAGTGTTAGAATCGCAAAAGGAGGGAAGATTTTTACTGGTTATTCTGTTTAAGGGTTTTTCTAAATTGAGTAACCTTCTCTCTTTCCTCTCATAAAATTTTACCTTTGTGTTATAAGTCAATAAGATCAGTTACAAATGTAAGCCTTTTTTCAGTTGCTTAAGAATGTCACTTTGGAGAAAGTAGAAACTTTCAAAATAAAATTCTTCAAAGTTATATTTTCAGAAGAAATTTCAAACTCATCTTGTGCTTCATGTTGGTTTTGATTAAATCAGCAAGTTCTGTGCCTTTGATTTTTCTCGTTTTCTTCTTTAAGAAGTTCTTTCAACAAGAGGGATTAGAAGAGCTTTGTATAGAAACAGTTGCAGAGGTGTAATAAATATCTTGGATGCTTTCTGACTGGCTCTAGTTAATGATTATAGCACTCTGCAGTTAGGTCATTTTTTCAGTCTTTAAAACAGCAGAGAGACATAGGAACTGAATAGCTTGGTAAAATAAAGAAGGTTAATCTATTTTTTTAAAAGTACAAGATCTTACTTTTTATTTTGTTCCTAACATAGGAGCTGACATGTCGAGAAGAACTTCTGACCCTCCTTCTGTCACTTCTGCCATTAGTGTGGAAAATCCCTGTTCAAGAAGAAAAAGCAATAGGTATGTTTTATCATTTACAGTATTAAGCACCTAAAGGAAGTAGTTTGTGCATTACTACAGAGTTCAGGACTCTCTACCAAAGAGTAGCCCATTGTAGTACATATGCTCTAACATGGAATGAAGATGTGGATTCTGCAGAGAATTTAAGTTCAAAAATACCAGTGTCCTATCAGCATACAAGGAAGATAAAAATAATGCAGAGAAGGTAAAGGCTTTTGATCAATGTGAAAGGTAATGCTTATGTTACTGTGTAGCTGAGCTCGATGTTAAGATTTTTCTTCTTTTCATGTGATTTGGGGGGAAAAGAGATTTGAAAGAGTATATGATATTTCTAATGCAAAGGGTTTCATGATGAGTAGAAAGGGAAAACATACTGATTTTTTTTTTAAAAAAAACCAAAAAAGTGATACCTGTTGACATTAAAGACAGGATGAGACAAACTTTTTCTTGTGAAATTGAAGAAATTGGAAATAGAGAATAAGCTTAAAACCAAACAGTGGATAAGAGAATATGAAAGAAGTGCAGTGTTATCAGGAAGTCAGGCCCTGAAAAAAAGGAATAATGATGACTAGATGACTATGAACAGAACTAGGCTTGATTCTTTAGAAAACGTCATGTTCTGTGTCAAACTGATATGCTAATTGAGCAATCAAATCACAAGGGTTCAACTGCCAAAGAGTCAGTTTAAAGTGAATTAAAGAAATGAAAAGGATTATATGAATTGAACTCTGTGGAAAAACTGAACAAGGAAATGTCAGTGATTTTGGTTTTTTTCATTTGGGATCTTACATTTGTCTGATGCATTCTTTTCCCTCCCAGAGGGTGAAGCAAAGAGAATGAAATAAATAAAGTTACCTGACTGCTTGAGGGAGTTCCTAAGGATTCTTATCTGAAGCTCTCCCAGTGTTTTTTGCTGTTGGAAACTCCTGCAAATTGAGGCTTTTGTTAATGTTTGTAGACTTGGAGTGCCAGTTGCATAGAGCTTTTATATAATAAGCTTTCCTGCTTTCTCAGTTGCATCATTCTCTCATGCTCCTGTAAGCATGATGGAATTAAAGAAATGTTTTGGTTATCCTACAAGAGCTTAGTGGCTTTTCCAGGGTTAGTTTAAAATGCTGTTGTGTAAATAGGTTTTAAGATGTTGTGGTTTATACATTGCATAATGTGAAGTTTCTAGTCTACAAATTACCTTCTCTTCCCATTGATACAGTAAACCTGATGTATCCAGTTGTGCACTAAGTACTCTTTTTTTTTTTTTCTTGACTGAAACAAATCCTCTGGTATTAGGCAGGTTTTTTCTTTCTGTGCAGGGAATATCCTTCATTTGGTAAAGTACTCCTGGTTAATTTCCTGCCTTTAAAGCAGATGATGTTTCTTACGTATCACAACTATGATTTTTGAAACAACAAGGCTTGCACATGGAAGCATCTTTTCTTTCAGCTTGATTTCAGATGTTTTTAGCTATTAGGTGGGATTCTAGGGTTTTGGGGGGGTGGGAGCTGTTATTGTTAGCTATCACATTTTTCTAAATACTGAATTTACTGGATGATGGATGCTTGCAGTTGTTTTATGCTAGTTATTTTACTGCCCAAAGCATCCAGTTACGGTTCTGTCACTACTGAAAAATAACATTGGACTTAATCCAAGCACATACGGAGTTGTTTCTCTGCTTACTTTTTTGATAGTTTGAGTTTACTGATACAAATGAACCGGTGGTACTCGCATTTTATTCTTAAAAATCTTCTTGTCCATTGAATCAGATTTAAATTTCATATTTGCTATTTTATACTGCGTACTTGAAAGTTGGGGTTTTTTTGTCTTGGCTTTTGTAGGAATATTCAGCATCCTAAACATTATTCCTTTCCATCTCCCTCTTGTCCTTGACTATTTAAAATTTCCTACTTTTATTTCTGCTTCTTGTATTTGGAATAAGTAATACTGAAGTAAAGACTGAGGTCTGTATACTTGATGATCTGCACTGTTTCTAAGTAGAGAAATATATTTTTTTTATTACCACTAGTATGCTTCTTTTTGAGAATGGAATTGTTGTGCCAACAAAAAGTTTTAGGAAACTGTCTAGCACCTTTTTGTCTAACCCTAGGTGGGAAATAAACTAATTTGTCTAGGCTTCGAAAATACCTAGTATGACTCCTAAACATGAGTTGTTGCTGCCTGTTTTATATTAAAAATGTCTGACATAGGTATATGCAAAACCATGACTTATTAAGATATAAATTTGTTGCATGTTTTTGATCTGGAAGTATTTAACTATAGAATTAGTAAAAATGCTTTACGTATTATAATGTTTCTTTAATGTTCTTTTGTTGTCTTTTTTCCAACAGATTTTAATATACCCTTCGCAGTAGACATATGCCTGACCAAAGAGAATAATACAAGTTCTGTGAAATCTACTCAGGAAAAACTAAACTTAGATGGAAGCATTCATTCATCTCTTCAGACTTCTGTAAAGCTAAATCTTCGATCTCGAAAAAGTGGACGTCTGCGCAAAACCACCCATCGTTACTCTGTGCGAGATGCAAGAAGATCTCAGCTGTCCACTTCAGATTCCGAAGGAAATTCTGATGAAAAGACTACTGTAATAACAAAACACAGACACTCCCAGTTACTGCAGCCTTTTTTAACATATCCTGTTAGGGACAGCTACCTTGTAGATAGAAGTGATCGCCTACCTGTGGAAGTGGTACCAAATTCTAATACCAATGCCCCTAACGTAGAAAATTCCAGCAAAATTATTCCAGCACATGAACTAAACCCAGAAACTTTGAATGAGCCAGCTGCAGGAACTTCTGAGAGCAACAAGGATAACTCTCCTTTTGACTTATGCCATGTCTTACTGTCTCTCTTAGAGAAAGTGTGCAAATTTGATATTACTTTGAATCACAGCTCTGCTCTTTCAGCCAGTGTGGTGCCCACATTAACAGAGTTCTTATCAGGATTTGGAGACTGTTGCAATGTAAGTAGTAACAGAGAAAATGAAGTAGTTTCTGCAGGGTGGACAGAAGAACCTGTGGCTCTGATCCAAAGGATGCTCTTTCGAACAGTGCTGCATCTTATGGCTTTAGACATTAGCAATACAGAAACAATGCCTGACAATTTACGAAAAAATTTAACAGACTTACTTAAAGCAGCATTAAAAATCAGAATTTCCTTGGAAAAGCAACCTGGTCCTTTTTCTCCAGGTTATGAGAAAACACTACAACAACCAGTTCAGGATGACTACATATTTTCTAGATATCGTCACAGAACCTTGCTTCTACCTGAGGTTATAAAAGGCGCCTTGCAGATTTTGATCTGTTGCCTACAAAGTGCAGCCTCCAATCCATTCTACTTTAGCCAAGCTATAGATCTGGTTCATGAGTTCATACAGCATCAGGGATTTAAGCTATTTGAAATAACAGTGCTTCAAATGGAATGGCTCTGTATAAAGAATGAGGGAGTACCTGGGGAAGCCTCAGAGCATCTGAAAACTCTAATCAACAGTATCATGAAAATAATCAGCACTGTCAAAAAAGTGAAATCAGAGCAGCTCCATCAATCAATGTGTACAAGAAAGCGGCACAGACGATGTGAGTACTCTCACTTCATGAATCACCACAGAGATCTCTCTGGGCTCTCTGTATCTGCTTTTAAAAACCAAACTTCCAAAAACCCTTTTGAAATTTCTGATGGAGAAGTTCATTATCCTGAGAGATGCTGTTGCATTGCTGTTTGTGCACACCAGTGTTTGCATTTGTTGCAGCGAGTTTCTTTGAGCAGTACCTGTGTTGAGATTCTCTCGGGTGTACATAATGTAGGAATATGTTGTTGTATGGATCCAAAGTCTGTCATTGTCCCACTGCTCCATGCTTCCAAGTTACCAATATTAAAAAACTTTCAGCAGCACATACTGAACATCCTTAACAAGTTTATATTGGATCAACTGGGTGGAGCAGAAGTATCTCAAAAAATTATACAGGCATCATGCAATATATGTACTGTTGACTGTGATCAACTCACTCAGCTGGAAGATGCCTTGCAGGGCAACTCTAGTGATGCTAGTCTTGCATCTAGTTCCTCTTGCAGAGTTCAGGGAATTCTGCCTAGCACTGGATCTGAAGATATGTTGTTGAGATGGCATGCATTGGAGGCTTATCAGGACATTGTTTTTGAAGAAGACAAGCTACGTGGCACACAGATTGCAAGCCATATTTGCCACTTAATTCAAAAGGGAAATGTAGTGGTCCAGTGGAAACTATATAACTGTATCTATAATCCCGTGCTTCAGAGAGGAGTTGAGCTAGCTTGCCATGCTCAACAAGAACTTGGACTAAGTACAGCTGATAAACACACATGCAGTTACCATAGCCAGGATTTGCCTTCTGAAGTACTTCAGGTTTATTTGCAGATGCTCCCCGTGTTGCTTAAATCCAGGTTGGTTGATTTTCTGTTTATTATTGGAAAGCATGCTAATTATGTACGTAGCTTTGTATATTTGTTAGTGATCAGAACATAAATTTTATTTGGACTCTAGGCAGTGTTTGGATATTGCAGGTGGCAACAAGGTAAATGCTTGAGTAACATAAGATATATGCCTAGATCCATAAACCATAGAAAGTGAGGGTGCTCTACTCATGAATTATGGTCTTTAATAAGCCAAAGTGTGTAGAAACAAATAAAAATCTTTGTCCAATGTGACATGCTCTCTGCCTCTTCATTCCACATGCTAAAATTAGTCAGGAATGTTGAACAGACTGATATGTCATTTTTCTGTGGGAATTAGACTTAGTTTTCTGTTTCCCTTTTCCTTCTAGAATGGTTACTATACCATCTTTCAAAATAAGTCTTGATGTTTACCTGTCCTGAAATAACTGTTTTCTAATTTACAAAATCCTGTTCATTTTAACATAGTTGAGAAACAAAACCAAACCAATCCCAGAACACAAAAACGCAACAAACATTCTTCCAAGGCATGAAATAGTAACTTTCTATTTATTGTTGAATTGATGCCATAATGTTTTAATACAATATATAGAAGTTTTTTTAGAATATGAATGTGTCCTTTTGTCCAGGAAAGATTCTGATTTTATTTCTGTTGGACTCCTGAAATGAATTTAGTGGGGGTCATCCAAGACAATTACAAAGATTAGACTAGTATTCCAGTTTACGTAAAGGGATTGTCTGATACAATTTTACTTCTATCCTAGTCTACACTGTATCAGTAGCTATTAATTTTTGAAAGTGCACTTAGTGGCAAAGAGGCAGGAGGAGTTAAGTTTAGATTTTAAAAAGGAGTTTAAAATATCCTTTTTCTTACTGGCTTAAAGATGGGAATATACAAGTAAATGATTGATTTGATTCTAGAGTAACTTGGTTAGAGTAAAAGCTGATCCTGTGAGAAGGAGATGAGTGGTAAGTAAGGTAGATGTCTAAAAGCAAATGTAGTATGCTAAAAAGCTTACAGATCCTTACTCCAAATTTTGTATGAACTTAGCGTAAATACTTGGGGAGTAGAAAAAAAGGAAAAATAGACTTGGAAACAAATATACAAAAAGTTTTTTGACATTGACATGCTGGCAATAACAATTGCACAACAAGTTGTGCTTGAAAGGTGTTCCTGAATTCTATCTGAAATACATCATCCACACAACTAAGATATAGCTAGGAAAATGTCTTCAATTTTGAGAAGGAATCTCTGCTTTCTGGTGAAATCACAGAACAGAGAAATTAACAAAAATATTTACTAGCTCCAGTTGCTAAGAAAAAGCTGGGGGGGAAGTACCACTAAAGAGCAAATGTCATAAATAAAGTTGAACGCTTTTAATGTTTTGAACATCATACATGTTTGTGGTCTAGATTTTAGAGGGAGGTATTTCTTTCATCGTATCTTACAAAAGAAGTTGAATTTTCCACTACTAGTTGAATGATGCTTACTTGAGATTCTAGACTACAGTGAACAAGTTCATCCTCTCTTTAATTTACAGTAATTTACAGCAATTAGTGAACTACATGAATTTGTGGCTGATTTATAAGGTAACTTTTATGCTTTATCTTGCAGGGTAATTAGAGACTTGTTTCTGAGTTGTAATGGAGTGAGTCAAATGATTGAGTTAAATTACTTAGATACATTAAGAAGCCATTCTTTGAAAGTGTTGGAGACTTTGATACTCTGCCTTGGTGATGAGCAGAAAGACCAAGCAACGCCAGAACTGGAAGGCCTGAATGGCGAACAAAAGGAATCTACATCTGACTTACCTGCTTCCCTTTGTAGCCAACATGCTGTTTCAGAGATTCCTCAAAGCCTGAGCAAGTTTTATGCTGGCTTGAAAGAGGCCTACCCAAAAAAGAAAAAGTTTGTGAGCCAAGACATTCATGTCAACACAATAAACCTGTTCCTCTGTGTTGCTTTTTTATGCGTGAGTAAAGAAGCAGATGGTGATCTGGATTCAGCTAATGACTCTGAAGATACATCAGGATATGATAGTACAGCTAGTGAGCCATTAGGCCACAAGTTACCATATCTGTCACTGGAAAGCCTTACTTTGCCCTCACTGGAACATATTCATAGGGCTGCAGATATTTGGTCCATGTGTCGTTGCATCTATTTGTATAGTTCTGTTTTCCAGAGACAGTTCCATAGACTTGGAGGCTTTGAAGCATGCCATAGATTACTAATTCTGATAATTCAGAAACTTGGAAAAATTAAGGAAAAGGAGCAAGAAAAGAGGGAGAGAGTATTGAGTGAAAGCAGCAGAAGTTCACATGGGAGTCCTCGTACTGAGCTTCTCAACAAGGACGATTCTGTTCATCTGGCTAAAAGCAGAGAGGTGACACAATTGGAGCTTGATAATTCTGGCAGTCTTGCTGGTGTGGAACAACTGGTGCCTGACTCTGTCTCCTGTGACAGCTCTTTGAGTAGGGAACACTCCTCAGTTATTTCAGTTGCCAATCTTGAAGGGATAAAGACTTCTTTAAGAGAAGAGGCTGAGTGGGCACTTCAAGGTATCAGACTCCTAGAAGCTCTGCTGACCATCTGTCTACACAGCGCAAGTAACATGCAGAAGATGGAAGTGGAGATGTTTCACCAGGTACTGTGCAGCTTCCCTTAGCTTACTTTGCTCGTATTTGTTACATACAATAATATTTTAACAGGAATTTAGTTCTTGTAGGGAGGGGAAAAAACTTATGCTTTTCTTATAGTACCATATTTTCCGTAGAACTGAAAGTATACAGTTAAAGCATGTGCTTAGTAGTTGGAGTAGCGGTCCTTTTGAGTGGTACTCTTTTTGAAAAGAGTATTCAGTGGATAATGTGTGTGATAGGGATGCTGCAGGAAAGCTGTGTAGGCAAGATTATACATAGTAACACAGTTTTTGATCAAAGTTCTGAGCACAGCATGGTGCTTGAGAAAGAGGAGTATTGCAGGGCACAGGTGCTGAAAAGACACCTGAAAAAAAATATTACTTAAGCCTTAGAGGTGAACTAATTCAGTGTTCCACAAAAAGTTGTTAATTCACAGAAGACAACTTCACATTGCTTTAATGTTTTAATTGCTATCTTAAATTTTATTTGGCAGTTTGTTACAAAAGCAGGAGGCATTAAGTACAAAAGAGAACTGAAAACTGGAGTTCTGTCTGGACTGCTTGCAAGTTTTGTGATCTTGGACATGTCACCCTCCGACTTATTCAATTCTAGTAATGTTGTGGTGTGATTTGAATGCACACTATGTACCTGAAACTGTTTCAAGGTCATTTATTTTTGAAACAGTGCTTTTACCTCCAAATTTTAGATAACAGCATTTTGCCAGATTTTTTCAGAGTGCAGATTCCAGTTAAATCTCTGTGACAAACAAGATGAATATTTCCTTTTTCAAGAGACTGAATGAAGTGTGATGGTTTTAGCTGAGAAGTTAGATTAATGTAGGTGGAAGGAGAAGTTCTTAAATAAAAGTACTAGGCTACTTCTGTTAGCCAAAACATAGTAACATGAATCAAAATGTTTGTCTCCCCCAAAACACAGAACACCTGTGTGGATGATATCTTACTTGAAATAAGAGAGCAGCTTGCTCAATCAAAAGTGATAGAAACTGACTTGGCAAAGCCTCTGTTTGATTCACTGCTTCGTGTTGCATTGGGCACTTTTTCTGCTGATCTTGATCATTCTGAAGAAAAAATTGAGAAGGTATGAAGCACCAACTAACCGGTCTAACTGTGAATAATGCAAGATTTTCCCGGGTTTTTGTTGTTTAGGTCTTTTTAAACTCAATAGGAAATGTTATATATCTTTTGATTACTGTGGCAGTTGAAGATGAATTCTCTGCTTCTCGTATGTAAGAGAAATGCTGCTTATTGATATGGTCCCCACATTTACTGTTCAGAAATGAGCCATGCTCCAAACAGTGGCAAGCTCAGTCAACCTGATGTTCTCTTTATTCTTTCATCTCACAACAGTGTGACAAACTCTCGAAGAGCTTCAAACAGGGATGTTGAGTGACCTTATCACCTTAGAGTGAACATCAAGGTGCACATTGATGGTGATAGTGATTTTGGAAACATAGTTATTCTTAATGCATTGGCCACCTGCTTGCTAAAACTTTGATCAGATAGTTAATATGAAAAATCTGTCTTTGCAGATTCAGTTTTTTATGTAAGAATGAAGTATTCTTAACATATCTCAAGTTTCTTGAAAGTATATGATTAATTTGTTTATTTTGCTGATGGGCTTGGAGAAAACAGTCATTTGTAAGGTTCTAAATTGTTTGCTTTTCTGATCCAAAGATATTTTTTCTTCTGACCAATGATAATCTATTTGCTTGATGTATTGTACAGACCCATTACACTGAAAAGGAGCCTGTGTCACAACCTGGAGAAATTTCCGAAGAAACTGAAGAATCACAATGCTGTAGTCTTAAAGTTTTTGCTGAAGAGGAAGGATATGAAGCAGATAGCGAAAGTAACTCTGATGATAGTGAAACCAAGGATGAAGGTAAATGTGAACTTTCTTAATATAGAAAGCTGTCTTTGCGACATAGCAAAGTTTGACTTTTGAAATGTACCAAAATGGGGCAAGCATCAGATACATTTAACAGATGGAAATAACAACTTTTTTTGCTTTCAGTATGATGCAGTTACAGTTAGAAAGATGATGAATATTCTTACTGAGCGTTGCAGAAACTGTTGTTTTGGTTGTCTTTTGTTTATGTGACTTTTGCTCTAAAGTCATGTTGCTCAAATATATTATCGTGGTCTAGGAGCTCCAAAGATGTTTATTACTTGGTTTGAAATTCAGTGCTCAAATTTTTTTATTTAGAATTGTAACTGTCCAGTGAAAACTAAATAATCTAATTGTATTATAGAATACTAGGTTGGAAGGGACCTCAAGGATCATCTGGTCCAACCTTTTTTGGCAACAGCATGGTCAAGACAAGATAGCCAGGCACTCTCTCCATCTGAATCTTAAGTGTCCGATGTTGGGGAATCCACCACTTCCCTGGGGAGATTGTCATACCAATGACTGATTGTTCTCATTGTGGAAAGCTTTCCTCTTGTGTCCATTTGGAATCTCTGTGAGAGTAACATGAACCCATTACGCATTAATTTTTGTCTGCATGACTCCTTGGAAAACAAGGGTCTTCATCTTCTTTGTAGGTACCTTTTAAAAACTAGAACATGGTGATAAGGTCTTCTCTAAGCTACCTTTTCCCAAGGCTGAACAAACCCAGTTTTCTCAACCTTTCCTCCCATGTGTTTTGCGTAGTGGTCACCAAAACTGAACAGAGCTTTCCAGGTGAGACCTGACAAGCGCTAAGTAGAGTGGGATAATGATTTCTTTACCCCTGTTGGTGACACCTTTGCAGCCCAGCACCCTGGTGGCTTTTTCTGTTGCAGCAGCCCACTGTTTACTGATACTGAGCTTGCTGTTTACTGGGACACTCAAGTCCCTTGCCACAGAGCTGCTCCACAGCTGGGCAGATCCAAGCCTGTGCTGCACTTGTGGATTATATTTTCCCATGTGCAAGACCTTACATTTGTCCATGTTTAATTTCATAAGGTTCTTGTCAGCCCACTCTTACAGCCTGTCAAGGTCTTCCTGTAGCCCAGGCATTCATTTCCCCACTCAGTTTGGTATCATCGGCAAACTCCATCAAAGTAGACTTGACAGATCACTTATGAAGACATTAAACAGCTTTGAGGTGATATCAGTCCCCAGGGGACTCCACTTGTGACAGTTGCCAGTTTGAAAAGGAACCATTTACCACCACCCTCTGGGTGCAGCCGGACAACCAGTGCCCACCCACCGCACAGACCCCTTGTCTCGACCCTAACACATCAGTTTCTCTTGACCCTAACACGGTTTCTCTAAGAGAAGGCTGTGGGAAACTGTTGAAAGCCTAGGAGAAATCTAGATCATCAACCAAACAGGTTATTTGGTTGTAGAAAGCAATCAAGTTTGTCAAGCATGATTTGGCCTTGGTGAATCCATACTGGCTTTTCCCAATCACGTGCTTCATTTGACTTGTGATTGCCTCCTCGTTATACAACATATCCCTTTATATTCATTCAACGATTGATGTATCCATATCTTGCTGTATTCTGTTTGTGTAATTAATTTTAAACATGAATTAATTTTTTTCTTTTGTGCTGAACACGTCTGGATGCTTCCATTCTGGTATGAATAGATTAATAGAACTGCATTAAACTGTTGCTTTTTACCTGCATGACTAGGCCTTATGAATAGATATATAACATTGTAAAAGCATTTCTGAATTAAAAATTTCATCTGAAATACTTTCATGAAACATTTGTATGAAACTTGTACCAAATAATTTTAAGTAACATGTTTTAAACTCTCTTCAAGATGTAACAGGAGGTGCTTATGCTTTTCTTTTTTGGTTATTATGCAGATATTCTGTCATGCGTTTTCTGAGTTAAATAACTAAACTGCTTCCCCAAAACTTTTAACAAAAAATAATTTAAATTTATGTCCTTTCTTGGCAGGCTCAGAGTTTTGTATAGAAATTTGAGGCTCTGTTACAATGATTTTAGTGTCATGTTTCATGCATTGCATATTTCACCATTACTGTGTGTCCAGTTCCCAAGAAATGAAGGCACGTAGTTTAAGAGCATGTAATGGGAGAAACTGCATCCTCGCCCTTCTGTGTTAGCAGCAAAATAGGAAAATCTGAAGAAGAATAGAAGATTATGCTAACTTCTTATAGGCTAGTGACTACTTTTGGTTTGTACTTTATGAGATGGTTGAAGGAAGTATGTCCTTGAATGTTCTGCTTAAATCATGTAATCTGTGTTCAGCTGAGTAAGTTTCAGTAAGACAAGTGTTTGGTTTTTTTTTTTTCAGGAGCAGACACAAAGGGAGAACCAGGTCCTTCAGGTTATTTTAATGACCTAACTGAAAACATCAATCAAGGAGAATTAATGTATCCTGAAATTTGCATGTTAGAATTAAACTTACTCTCAGCTGGTAATGCAAGTTTAGATGTGCTTGCTCATGTATTCCGAAGCTGCCTGAAAATCATCAGCCAGAAGGAGAGAAATGCCACTGTACTTATAGAACAGGTAAAAATGTTATTAACGAAGGCAAAGGTCTGGAAGTTGTGTATCTTTTCTTCAGTTTTATAGTACCAGTCTATCTAATAGAGTGATCTCAAATGTTCTCACTTCTTATGGGGTTTTATAAGATCTGAAACAGTATAAATGACTGATATTGCCAACTGCGTTGTGTTTAGGTTACCAGGAACTAAGTAATGTATTGAAAGATATTTGAGCTGCAGAGCTTTTGAGTTTCCCAGGTGTCTTATTTTATCAAGACTATTCAATCACTAGGGCTAGAGCTAGAGATTTAATGATTGTCAGGGCATTAGAAAAAAAAAAAAAAAGGCAGATATCTGCTTGTATATGTATGTATGTAAACATTCTACACATACATGTATTGAATATGTACTTTTAGAAACAGTGAGTCATATACCTCAAAAGTATTTAATGCTTTTATTCTTCCTAAGTTAATATTAGAAATTGCTTATTCAAATGTTGATGTCTTCACAATCCTCTGGAATTTCTGATAGATAACTTTTTCACTTGTTTAATAACTAAATTGAGTATGCCTCTTGCAAAAGAGAATCATTTAAATTTCAAAATCTCTTCTGCAACCGAACTGCACAGAACATGAAAGAATGTTCATTGGCAAATATAAAAAATTTCCCTAATTTCAAGTAGTTGGAATTATCATTAAAATAATAGGCAGGAGTTGATTGGAAGAATTTATTTCTTAGTTCTTTGAGCTGGAGTTTATTCTTCAGATATCCATTTTCCTTTATTTGTTTTAACAGGGAGCTGTTAAACACCTTTTGGGAGGATTTCTGAATATATTGACACAAACGGAATCTAGTTTTCATGGTGAGTTAAAGGTTCAAGTAACTCAAATATTAGGTTTTGTAATTTAGTGTATACACAGTCAAATTTTTTAGTTCACAGTGTAAATGCCAAGTTGACAAAGGAAGTTCATTGGCATGTGAATTTATGCAGCTGCTTTTTTAAGTTGTAAGAAACTTAGTGTAAATATGGGGTTATTTCTGAGCTAGTGGAAATATATTATATAAACAAATACTGGCAGATATGAAAATTATAGTTAAAATGATAAACAGTGGTGTGACAGTGTTAAACATTGCTTGGAAAAATAGCAGCTGATTGAATTCTCACTCCATCACAACACAAGTTTTTATTTCCAATTTCTTTGTAACACAGGTCTTAAAGATGTCTTGAGTTTTATTTCTAACTGTAAACCAGCTAGCTAATACAAGAATGCAGAGAAGCAAATTAAATGTTTGCCCTAAGGTAGCTTCACATGATGAGGCTGTTCCACAGTGGGAGATGTAAACCGATGCCAGGACTTGGATCCCTGGCTTTGTGGGAGAGCCTTTGCAAGTTAGATGCTAGGTTCCCAGGCTTTCAGACTCCACATTGCAAACCTGGGAGCTACATCTGGCATAGCCATCTGAGTTCATTCAATGAAATTTTTAATGGTAGTGTTAGGAAGTACTGTTCAATCTCTCTAGAATTTATCTTGTAATCATTATTGCTTCCTTAATTTGAACTGTTTTTGCAAAACACTCTGAATTCCAAGTTAATCTTTCCTCATAATACTATAGAATATGAATTTTTAAAGCTTTAGAAAAATTCCTTTTAAGAATGTTATTATCTCCTTCTTTTTAGCATGTCAGATGGTGCTGGTAGATCTGCTAGTTTCCTTGATGAGTTCACAGACATGTGCAGAAGAGCTAACTCTCCTTCTTAGGATATTTTTGGAGAAGACACCTTGTACGGTATGTATGCAGGAGCACATGGCAAAATTCAGATGCTTATTAGAAAAATGAAACCAAAAGGAAATCCTTTTGTGTCCAAGAATTCAGAGAAATAAGATGATCAGTGACATTTGAACTGAGCAGAGCAAATAAAATTTGGTTGTTGAAGTAATTCTTTGTTAAAACAACAAAAGGACATAGGAGATAAGAAGAGAGGGTTTTGAAGGGCGTGTGGGTCCTGGGGACTCTTCAGTACAAAAAACCAAGATTCCTCTTGAGGAAGACTGACATAGTGATTATGGATGACAGAACACTAATACTGCAAAATTCAAAGCAGTTACTTGGAAGTTATAAAGCATCTCACTATTTCAGGAATGCTTTAGCGGCAGGAATTACTTTCGAAAGTGTTGTAAGCTGGTTTGTGTAATGCTGGAATCTACTGTTTGTGTGGGATATACTGCTGAAATAATGCTGGTTTGTGTGTGAGTCTGTAGCAAAATACAAGTGGAAGAAAATAAAAAAATTACTGTGGCATGTGAAATAGTACCAAACCAAACAAGGAGTTGCAAGTCAATTTTTCAAAGATAGCTTGTAATAATTGGCCAAGTGACTTGGGAAACTTTTTGGCTTAAGGGCTCAGCTAGTTTTGTTGTGATTATGCAATAACAAATTGATGGCCTGTGTGTGCATTCTTAACCAGCCTCAAACATGAGGTAGAAGGTGTGATCTTTTGTTGCACTATGAATTGATCTGTTAGCACATAACAAAAGTGAATAAGATTGTGCAATGACCACCTGCTTTGGTTTAGCTGATTCCTGAGCATGGTAACTTGAAAACTGATCTGCCTGGACTAAATCCCAAAGCTCTGCTGGGCCAAAGTCTGTTGAAGCAGCTACCTGATGCTTTGCAAATGTCAGTTTGATTATGAAAGTCCACCTCTGATGGGAAAACATGAATCCAAATTTAAATGAGGAGTGGCTTCTGTTTGGTTACGTGATACTTGACTATGTGGTGTAAACAGTTTAATTTTTTTCTCATTTGTTTGGTTTATTTCTTCTAGGAGATACTACTCAAGGGTGTATTGAAGATCGTAGACACTAATATTTATATGAACCCATTACAGTACCTTGCCTTCCCTGTGCTACATGGCACGAATTTGAGTAGTGGTTCTTCACAAAAATATGCTAGCGCTTCCAACAGCAAAACTGCTGGACTACTTAAAAGAGCAAAATTTTCACAGAGTAAGAAAGAGGCAGATAGTGAAAACTTGAGTCACCAGCTGCTTTCTTCTTGGCATGTAGCCCCAATTCACTTGCCTTTAGTTGGACAAAACTGTTGGCCACACATGTCCGATGGCTTCAGTGTCTCGCTGTGGTTTCATCTGGAGTATGCTCATGAAACAGAAAATTCAACAGAAAAGGGGAAAAAAATCAAGAAAAGAAGCAGACTCATAACTGTAAGAGAGAACAGTTTTGACAGCACGGGTGAGCATACAGTACTTTCTGTTTCTGTTTAGGTAGCACTGAAGGATTCTGGTTACAAATATTAATAATCTATGTGCCATGTACAAAGGTTGGATTTTTTTTTTTATGATGTATATTAAATAGCAGTGGTAGTATTTCTGATTTTTCTTTGAGTACTGTTGTATACTTACAGATAAAACATTTGCAGCCCTGATCTTTAAATTAGATTAATGCCTGCTTCCTTGGAAATATAGTATTCTCATTGAATTTGTAACTTCAGTAAAATGTGTCTATGCTACTTCATGTTATGATGAAGAAAATATTAAATGCTGCAACTGAATGGGAAAAAAATGCTCTCAAGTTTATTTGGTTTCATGTATTGATAATGAAATCTCAGGCTAACTCAGTATAAATCCTCTTGACTTTCCTTCTGTGCACCATTGTAAATGCCAATAGCTGTACAATATTATTCTGTCTATACTTTTGTAGAGACACCTGCTCCCAAACTGTTCTAAACAGAATCTTTTGGATTATAATTTGTAGGAGGAAAAATTCTTAAATTTGTTTAAAATGTCTCCCATTCACAACACTTGGAATACCTGTACTCTTTTCCTTTTACTGTATTTAAATAAAAGAAGAGAAAACTCAACCCTGAATCTTGGAACTCACTAGAGCTGCTGTTGTTAGAAGGTCTGTGCTTTTGCTTGGTAAAGTAAAAATACTGAATACAAGATCATGCTTAAAGGGTAGTATGATTTGTGAAGAAAAATCTGAAGACTTCTTGGTGCATACTGACAGTTCAACACAGGAATGTAATATGATGTGGCATGTCAAAAGCATCATTGATAGAATGTATTCAGCTCAGTGGATTTACTTGATTACTAAAAAAAATGTGAGGTGCTGAGTTAATGTCAAGTTTCTCTGTTTCAGTTTGACACCCAAATTTCTGAAGACAATCATGCATATTAGTCAACCCACTATAAAAAAAAACCAACAACAAAAAAATCCTTAACTAAACAACAAAAAAAAAAATCTATTCAGTGCCTGAACTGTTTCTTTTCTTACTTGTGCAATATATGGTGTGAAAGGCATTGTTGTATTGTAACTGTGTATAAACGTTTATATTTCTAGAAGAAACAAAGTCTATGGGAACAGAATACCTAAGTCTGGGAGAGAAACTTCTTGAAGATGGCTGTATTCATATAATTTCATTGGGTTCCAAAGCACTGATGATACAAGTCTGGGCAGACTTGAATACTGGAGCATTTATATTTCGGTATGCTGTTTTAGTCTAAAAGCAGTCCTGTGAACATATTGTATGACTTCCAGTAGCAGCCTGCAGAGAATACTGCTGGAGAGTAGAGAACTAATTTCTATAGTAGAGAGGTCTTGCACACTGATGGGACAACATCAAGGATGTCTATTAGATACAGATCTACAGAGTTGTGAGCTTAAAGTATTAGGGTCTGGGCTTGCACGTTTCACATAGCCATGTATAAGTAACTGCCCAAAGTAAGCTTCAAGGTCAGTCATAAACATAATGCAATGCAAAGTAGCAATTCAAGCTTTAATGAAATGACACAATAAATGTGTGAGGATGGAAAAAGTTTTGGCAGCTGTAGGTTATCACACCTGCTGTTATGTAATACTTACTGTGACAGTCTTGGTTTTAATCTTCTGAACACATTTTAGCCCTAATTTAGTTCTCATAAGTAATCTATCCTTAAAATAGGTTTAAAACTGCAATTTTAGAACACTTTATTTCAGTGTTCAAAGCACCTGCATTTTTTCAATAAACTGAATTTAACTTCTGTAAAATAGAGATAATATCCTTATCTTAAATATAAGCAGATTTATGCAGACAAGTTGAAACCATGATGTGAGGATTTCCCTAGCTTATGCTGAGCACTCTAAAAATAGTTTTGTGATCAAAAAAATTACCTGTGAAAGTTAAGGAATGCAATCTCAAATTAACTGAGGCAAAAAAATTACAGACTTGAGGCTTAAAATACAAGTATGAAAACAAACATACGCACTCATTTTTCTTTTCTTGTTTTCATAGTATGTGCATGGATCCAAATGACGAGATGAAAGCTGGTTTGCTGGCACAGGCAGAATCTCCAGAGAATGTCTTCCTTTTGGGCAGGTGGCAGCATTTGGCATTAAAATATCTGCAGAAGCCAGAAAGCAAGAAAAATATCCATGGAAAGCTGTTGCTGTGGGTTTCTGGTCAGAGGTAAAGAATACGTTAGTTGTACCTAGATACTTCTTAAAAGATGTTCTCTGGTAGGAATATGTCAGCACTATGTTGGCACAAGCTGAAGTTATG